AACACCGCTACCTAAAAGGCTTTATAAAAAACAAACTGGGTGATCAAATTTTGAAATTTTCTCCTTTACTCTAAAACGTAGTGAATAGCTAGTTAAAAAAAATTCTAGAAGCAGTTAATAAGTATACCTCAAAGAGGTTGAATGATTGTACCATTCTTGCTAGAGTATTTTGGCAAAAGTTAGCCTCAGGACTTCAAAAAAGAGAAAAGTATTATGTGTTTGGTTGATGATGGAATATGATTAGTATTAACTTTTGTTGCAGTTGGAAAGCTTTGGAAAAAATCCATTTAATTTTAAGAGTAGATGTATACTTAATTATTTAAACCATATAAAAAATTAGGGTTCTCGCAGTTTAAAAATATTTTGGAGAATTATTGTCCAGTTAATTGTCCAAAAAGTTGAAACTATGGAATATAGTTGAAACTAGCTACATAAACAAATAGATAACAACGGAAGAGCAGCAAACTTTACATTAGGTGTGCAAGATCTATCTTAGCATGTTACTTTCATTGGTTGCCATTTATAATAAATTTTTTAGGTGAATATCTATTTTTTACCAGGTTCGTTTACTTTGAAAATCATACGATTTTTTTTACAAAATTAGCACTTTTACCTAGTTTATTATTTATTGTTTATTTATTTTTAATTATTTGAACTTTCTTGCTATACAATGTTTTTATCCGAAGATATTGTTGGCTCCGCGTAGGAACAGCCACAAGAAGTCATTAAGACTAATCCAAAGTAGCGCCCGTTATTGACCAACATTTTTGCGTGCAGAAGTACTGCCTAAGCGCTGAGTTGGCGGTGGTTGATCCCGTATCGTACAACAGTCCGGATTTTCTTATGACGCTCTAACCAACTGAGCTATCCAGCCACTTTAACCTTCAATTTAAACAAAAAATGTAGTGAAAGTTTACTGTTTTGATAACTTGTTTTGAAAACTTTTTTCTTCGTATCTTTTGAAAACTTTAAAAACTTTTTTCTTTATATCTTTTACATATTTTGAAAAAACATGGAAAAACTGGATTATTTTTGAAGCAAATGTCGCATATAAAATGCATCTAAAACGGACACCTGAGAAGGCACATATATAATCACATATATAATCGTGTTTTTTTTGCATATACTCTTACGATTAAGTGTTTTTGTTTATTTTAAATAAACTGTTGCGAGAATAAAAAAGTTCAAAATGAAAAAAGTTATTTTTATGCATTTTATTTAATGCTAAAAAAAAAGTTTGCTTAATTCAAAATAATAGTAATATTATTTATATTTAATTGTAAATATTATAACTTTTCAAATTTGTTTTACTTGTCTTTGGTAAACTTTATTATTCAAAAAAAAAAAAATAAAATAAAATTCGCTCTAACAAGCGATTTATTTAATTTTTTATTTTTAACCATTTCTACGTCATTTTTGTAAGTAAAGGTGAGTCTCCACTCATCCGTTTTTCTATGGGAACGGGATAGGAAAGGGAAAAATAATCACGTGAGCATGCGTAGTTTTACTTCGGACAAATTAAAACTTATGATACGCATGCTCATGTGATTATTTTTTCCTTTCCTTTACCGTTCCCTTAAAAAAGCGGATGAGTGGAAACTCACCTTAAAAACTAAATTACTTTTTCAACTTACAATTATAAGTACAAGTAAATAACTTTTTAAATTACTTTTATTAGTAAAAGTTTTATAAGCCTAATAACTTTTACACGTTAAAGTTACGCGTTTTTAAAATTAACTTTACGTTTACAATTTAAGTTGTTGCTAGACGTGTTATTATTATAGTGTTATTTTAAATTTCACTATAATAATAACACAACTAAAATTATGTTTTAAGGAGCCACAAAATTATGTTTTAACAAGTATTAAACTTTAGGTAAAATTAAAGTTATGGTAAAAGTAATAATAATAACAATAATACGTTAATAACAATGGTAATCAAAATACTAACAACAATACCAATAATAATAATAACAATAATAACAATGAAAATTTGAATAAAAATAACTAACTTGTTTGCCATCAACACCTGCACTCACACCTAACTTATTAGTTCCTACACTTGGGTTTGAAAACCCAATTGTGATTAAAGATCCATTCATTAGATATTGAACGTAGCCAGAGCAGCCACTCACTGCCCAGTCTCGTTCATAACACAATATAGTTTGAGTTTCATTCGGCAAAATCTCTTTGGGCCACGAAAAATTATCTGCCACTCTACCCGAGTCAAACCAGTTAGAAAAATAAGTCATAGCAAAAGGAGTAGAATTCTTAATAGTTAGTTTTATATTGTGTTGTTTTACCATTTTAATATTCTTAAGTTTCTTACAACGCTTCGATTAATGAAAAGAAGCAACTTTGCAAGCTTTCAGTTTATTGCAGTGTCTAAACTCACTGTCTACAAAAATGAAAAGAGTTTTAAAAATTATGTACATAAAACAATATGGAGAAGGGCAGCTATTTGTCCAAACAGCTATTTATATAAACAAATCGCAAATAAAAATGATTTGTCGCTTTAACGTAATTTAAAACTTGGTATTTGTTAACGTATCTGTCAAAGTTTATTAAAAATACAGTTTATTGAAAATGCTTCAAATTATTAATGGTGTTTTATACTTAGGCATAAGGTGAAAAATAAAATGAAAAATTACAATTAGTTAATTATAAATGTGACAATTTATCCGATCTAAATTGTTTTATCCTATACGAATAAATAAAACTGCTAACACTTGCTCGCTGTTTAAACAAACTTACTTTTTGACGGTTAATATTGAGAAAAAAATATAGTAAACATTTACTTTTATGGAAAACGTTTTTTTAAAAAATAAGAAAAACTTTAAAGAATTTATTTATTTTTTTTAATAAAAGAGAAAAGTTTCAAGACATTTCATGCTTTTAGAAAGAAGTTGCAATTTCGCTCGAATAAATCATTTTTTAATTAACTGGAGTGCGCAATGATCTAAAATTCCAAATTATCTGGCAATATCAGGTCCAATTATGTTTACAATGAATTTTTGTAACTTGAGAAAGAGCAACATTTGAAGATCCGGATTTGGGATTAATGAGACAAAGACAGCTTGAGATTATTGAGCTTTGGGATTATTGCATACAAAGACAGCTTAAAGATTTATAGGGCACAACGAAGAGATGCAACTTTAGCAGATGCTAATTTTGCAATAGATTTGGAATATGGCTTTTAAGAAAGATTGGAAGTAAGTGCTAATCTTAGAAGACAAAGGGTAGATGATTCATAGAGTACATTTAAACGATTAGCCGAAAAAAATTGAGTTTTATTTTTATATATATATATATATATTTTTAAATTTTATTTAGATGCCCCAAGAAGTCCTTACGGTTTTATCACAGAGCACCGCGGATGAGCGTTTAATTGGAAGTTCACGCCTCCTTCCTAACCGATGTTGCAAAACTTGCCCAGAGGTGAGGTTTGAACCGCAGATCCTTTGTCTCAGAGGCAAGTTGTTTGAGTTAAAGTTTTCCAGCTACTGCTCTGTTGGCCAGGTAGTGGACAACCCTTTAAAAAATATATTTATTCAAATCCATATAATATAACATTTATTATATTCAAATCCATATAATTATTATGAAAACTGTTTTAAGTAAGTTGAGCATTTTTCGTAAAAAAAAAGTAACGATTCCGACTCCGACTCCAGTTGCTAAAATTTTTTAAGTACAACTTCGACTCCGACTTCAGGTGTTGAAATTTTTTGAGCACAACTCTGACTCCGACTCCAACTCCAAAGCAAAATTTTTGAAAAATTCTTTAAAATCTTTAAAAAATATTACGTGATAAGTTGGAAATTTCTTTTTTGACAAATTTATGAAACTTTCGTTTAGTTATAAGGTTTAGTATGAACATAAGGTTAATTGAATGTTTTGTACATGCATGTCTACCGAGAAGCTTTACTAGTGGAGTCGAAGTCGCGATTTTGTTTAGCAACTCCGACTCTGACTCCACAGCCCTGGTAAAAAGTAATTATCTCAACCATAAAAAAAAAACAATAATAAATCTTTTTATTCTCTAAAAATGTTAACGAAACTTTTTTTTGAAAAAACTTTTGCTCTTGAAATACCAAAATAATGCTCCACGGAGAATAGCTTTAAAAAAACGCGCTTTTCTTAATAAAAGGCCGTATCTCATATTGAGCGTCTAAAAACGTATCATCTTAAGCAACTTCATCAAGTACTATCATAATGACAACAGCTTATGTGATATATTAAGTAACCCATGGAATTAGTAGTAGATAAGCATAAAATATTGAGGATGTAATACATTTTTGATGATCTTGTTTCGTTCTGACGTAATTACAAAATATTGAATAATAAAAAATTTTAACGGGGATGGTAAACTTTTTTAACCATAAAACAATCAAAGAATGTTAACTAAACAACCAAGAAATTAAAATAAACAACACCGTCGAACTTGTATGAATATCCTTAACCAAAAAAGTTCGCGAAAATATCATTAGTCTACCCGTAAAAGAGGTTATACCATCATAGGAATCTGCTCATCTTACGCAACCTTTCCCTAATAGCAGAGGCGTAGCAAGGAGAGAGCGGGTGGGGTGGTCACCCCGGGGGCCACTCTGGAAGAGGGATGGGGGCACCAAAAAGGGGAAAAATAATAAAAGTAAATAATTTCACAACTCAGACATGCAATACTTTGCATTTCTTAAGAGCCAACAACTGCTCAGTGACATTAACACAGCTGAATTAAAGAGCAAGTTTAAGAGCAAGTGTCAGTCAGCCAGAACCCAAACCACCAGTAACAAACAACCCCTAGAAAATTTAAAATGATCCCAAACCTGGGATCTTCTAAATGTCCTGATGTCTTTGAAAGTAGCCATGTTTTATTATTACTTTTTAATTAATTTTAATTTTTTTTTAAGCTAAATAAGCAGTTGTCAAATGGTTACTGTTCATTAACTTTTTAACGGGAAAAAAACTGACACATTCTGAATTGCAATGATTTTACACGTGACGTTATTCCGTTTGTACTGTTAGAGTGGTCAGACAAACACTGTTTTTCTAAAAATTAAATAGCTACAAATAAATCAAAATGGAAAAAATATTGTTTTCAAAAAATGTAACAAATTTTAAAACACTAGTTTTTATTTATACACGCTGATTCTAATTGGTCTGACCTTAAGATCATTGGAGACCATCACAATAAAGTGTCGTTTGGCTGCAGATTTAGTCATTGAGTATTAGCATGCTGACTAGCATCGATTCGCGGTCAACATGCAATGCTTTGCATTTCTTGAGGTTGAAATGCATGATCCAAGTATGTGAGCGTTAGATTGGTTTGTTTGTGTCAGTTTGGAGAGTGACGTTGTCTGACTCCCTCAATTCCAAATGCTCAATTACACCCTACAATTTTAATGCAGTCAGCATACAGTTTCATATGATGAGTGTGGTTGTTTGACAGATCACTTATGAAAATCGCAAAGAATAATGGGTCCAAATCCAGTTTTGAGGCACGCCACTAGAGACCGTTTTTCATTCAGATGTAATGCTGTTGATGATCTTTTGTTGACTTTGGTTGAGTAACCAAGCTAAGATCCAGTCTATGCACACGTGCCTTGAACACACTGAGCTCGTAACTTGTAAAGAAAGTGCTTGTGCAATATTTTATCAAAAGTTTTTGTGAAATCTGTGTAGACAACGTTTACTGCGTAGTCTCAATAAATTGTTTTTGCCAGGATGTCTCAAGCTTTCTAGCAGATTTGAGACTCAGCAATTGCGACTAACAAAATCGTGCTGCTTTGGAGTAATTGGCGCATTAAATTTTAGTTAAAATAACTATATAAACGGAAAGCAATTCTTACATTCTGCACATAACTGAAAAGATTTCAAAAAAAAAATTATAGTTTATAATATATAAACTCCGCACATGAGCTGGCGTTCAATTTAACTTAAGAGAATATCAACAACATTTTACGTAAGTATTTTATAAAACATAGTTTATGATAAAACATATTTTATATAGAAAAAATTAAGTAAACAGATAAAAAAAAAATTGCTTGCAATCTTTAAAAAAATTGCTTGCAATCAAATTTTTAAGTTACTACTTAATTTATACTTTTATTTTTTAATAACTTGGAGGTGGATAAATGTTATTAGAATAAGGTGGAGGGAAAGCTTGGTTATTTGGTTTTTGGTTTGAAATGAACAAAATATTGGCGTCATTGGTAGTGCCACCAGTACATTTACTTGTAACAAGTACATCTTTTCCACCAACTTTTATATTCTGATTGACTTCCTGATAGTCTTTTGATTCAATGACTTCCCAAAACTAAAAAAAAAAAACATTTTTGTTATAATCTTACACAAGCGTTAATAAAGACACGTTCAAAAATTACACCATAAACACCATAAACATAATGCTTTAGCGCAGTACTACTCGATTGTATTACTTGATGATAACTAAACGTGTAAAGCGACAAATTATATAAAACGACTAGACCTGAAAAGCGACTAATCGTGTAAGATTAATCTGAAAAAACTTTTACACGAAAAAAAAAAGTTTAAATTGTTGATTAATCAAATTTAAAAGCAACCGGTAGCAAATTTAAAATTTAAAAGCAACCAGTAGCAACTTTGAAACTTAAAAGCAACCAGTAACAAATTTAAAATTTAAAAGCAACCACCTAACGGTAAATTAACCTAGTTTGAATGTCAAATTAACATTTACAAGATTTAAATTTTTTGGTGGGATAGCTCAGATGGTAAGAGCGTCAGAAAAAAAGCAAAATAACGTCGATCTGACATCTTTTAATTTTTGTTACTTTTTCAGGGAGTAATTCTCACTTTATTCGATTATTTTAAAACTTTTTTGATTTAATAAAAAGACTTTATGTAATATAAAAATTGAATTTTTGTTAATACTAAAATTATTTTATAAGCTTTATCTATAATTTTTTAATATATAAATTTAAGAGCAACTAGTCATTGTTCATTTTAACTATGATTATTTTTAGTTTATTATATACTAGAATGCCCAGTTTGACACAACCTTGGCTTAATTATTTTAATTTTTTGGGTAATGTACAAAAACTTGAAAGGCAACAAACAATTGAATATTTCTGCTTTTTGGAGCACAGATATTAAAAAGGTAGTCAAAGTGGTTACATAGCAACCACATACTGCGTCAATATAATAAAAAATATCATAGACAACAGATATAAAAAAAAGTGTTGCATCATTATATAATGCATTAAAAAGGAATTAACAAAAGAATTTAAAACTAAGATTGTAATTGATTGGTATCAAAATCAAATAAGTGTTGCATTGTGAGGATGGTCTCGTATCGTGGTCAATATTGATTCAATACCACACGATACCGAGAAGCATGGTTTCGTTTGGTGTGGTATCGCTTATATGCTAATGTCGATACCTTCAGTTTAAAATTACTTATTTTTAAAATTCTTTTCTTTATATCATTTTTTTTTATTTTCAAAAAAAACATAACTTGATTGTTTTTAATACGGATGTCGAAAACAAATAACGCATTTAAAACGGACCCTTAAATATTAAACGTTTCCCTGATATTATCTAAATCTTTTCTATGAATATATAAATTTTAAAAAATTGAAATTTTATTCTGTAAAAGCATGTCTGTAAAAACTTATTTAAAAAGGGTCAATTCGCATACACGTGCTATCTTATCATAATAATAGTTTTTTTTATAGTATGTATATATATATATATATATATATATATATATATATATATATATATATATATATATATATATATATATATATATATATATATATATATTAAAAACAATATATTATAAAAAAAATCATTACTATAACTAGATATTTGCACGTGTGTGCAAATAGACCCTTTCTTAAATAAGTTCCAGACTTTTTTTTTTTCGAAAAAAAAATTGTGTATTGGAGTTTACTGCTCAGGAGTCTTCTTTTTTCATAACTTCTTAGGAATTCTTAAGAAACAAACAATAAAAACAAAAGAAATTATCCAACAAAATACTTAAAGAATGTTTACTCAAAGTTGGCAGAAAATTGGATCAACGCCAATGCTTTATTTATATATCATATACCATAAAGAACAATATATTAATGAAAAATTGGTAGGTGTTTATAATGTATCTTGCAGTTCGTAAAAATAAGGTTTAAGGACTAAAATATAGATTTTTCGCATATATAACAAATATATTTAAATACTGAACGCTAAATGCCAAATTATTAAATGTAATGATGAATGTTAAATAACAAATGTATGCAAAAAGAGTATAAGAAGATTAGAAAAAAGAAAAAAAGCTAAAGTAGAGATTACCGGTCCACAGGTACCACCGCATTTAAGTTGAAAACAGAAAAAAAGAAGAGTTAAAGAACAAAAAAGCAATTGACAAAAGACTAAAAAAAAACTGTAGTTTAAATGAATAAATTACATACGTCTGCATTAAAGGAAAGTATGAGTAAATTCTAAAGCACCAATGTTTAAGAGAAAAATAGAAAAATTAAAGTTTTTTAAGCACAAAGGAACTGTTTAGTTAAAGGATGCAGTTGGACGATACAGCAGAATAACAAACAATTGTTGATATCAGAGATGTAGTCCAGACAGTAAAGGCAAAGACCAAGACATTTGGGCTCAAGACCAAGACCAAGACTGAATGCTTCAAGACCAAGATATCAAAAAATCAACCCAAGACCAAGAGCAAGAATTTAAAAGTTGATACTAGACCGGGATTAAGACTTAGGTTCTAAAAAGTCCAACACAATAAAACTCATGCTCACACATGTAAGGGATAAACAGGTTCTACCTGTTGACCAGCTTCGCACATCTTCTTTCTTTATTAGGCTGGCATAGATGTATTTATAATACATTATTTCCAGTTTAGAAAGTTGAATGCTAGATCTTCTTAGCTAATTGCATGGGTTTTGCTTGAGTCTTTGTTTTTACGACTAAAAAAGTCATTATATTATCTCTTAATGAGGGTACAGCTCTAGAACTCAGTTTTATGGTTCTGAGGCAATATGGTAGTCAGGTTTTCCGACCTTTGTTGTAGCTCTCATAGAGACCAATTCTATCAACAGCTGTAAAATATTACAGTACTAGTAGTTCCATGTTGCGCATGGTGTTCCTGTTTGTACTTTTGGTGTGTATTGTTAAGGTTACATTTGGAGCCTTTGTTACGGCTTAGGGTTTATTAATAAAAATGAGGCAATTGTTTGGACTATTAGATAGTGTACTGAATATTATCTGTGCATGAGTTAAGTTCTTTAGTCAATTTAAAAATAAATAAAGTATAAAAAACTATAAAACACAAAAAACAATTGTCATAACCAAGTTTTCTAAATCTATCAATCACTAATATTCGTGCTAAACACTTTTCATCAATCTTATCTTTTGATTCCACTTATCGCATCCTACCTGATATAGCCGACAAACAGGTTGATCCATTTCTTGACATTCGTATCATTTCAGCTTCAGTATCTAAATTAATTTTCTGCTTAGACTCTTCTATAGATTGTGGTCTAGACAACATCATACCTGTTATGACACATAGACACATCATACCTGTTATGGTTTTGCAGAAGTGCTCTCTAGAGCTGTCGTCGATACTTTCAAAACTATGAGGTCCGTCTGGGGCTTCAAAAAAAACAAAAAAAAATTTACCCGACCCCGGGATAAGTTGGCGCAAACTATAAAAATGATTATTAATGTATAATTAAGTGTAAAATGTTTAGAAATTTTTTTACTATTTAATTTGGCAACAATTTTAAGCCAAAAATTTAATATTACTTTTAGCTGGTGCCAAATATTAGTTAAACAATCAAAACAGTAGCCCCTTTTTTATCTGTTAAAAAAAAAACACCTAAAAAATTTTTATTTTTATTTTTTTGTAAAAAATAAATTTTTTCAGTGTTGTTAAAAATTTAAAAAAACAAAAAAAAAAAAATTGTTTTTATAAAAAAATGTTGTTTTTTTTATAGCAAAAAATATTTTTCAACTTACCCCAAAAGCCTTTTTTTCAATAAACAGTCTATAGATCCTGAAAAATGGCAACTATTGAAAAAAAAGTCTGAATGGAAATAGTAAACCAATTGCGACAGAAATATTTACAATAATTTTTTTTTTCATACGACCAACTATTTTCTTTGTAAAGTAAAAAGGAAGCGATGTTCCAAAAGCTACGCTTTTGCCCAAAGAACACTTAAACCCCAATATCTCCCATGCGCATGCGCAAATTCTAGCAACACTATAGTGAATGAAGGTTATGAAGGTTCTATGCAATATTTGTCGTTTTCTGGTGAGGGGCTCTGAAGATAAACGCAGTTCATCAACTTACCTCTGCTACCAACTTGCCCCGGTCTCCCCTAACCATCAAGTAGCATACCATTTAACTTTTTCAAGTGCAATAATATCACTTTTAAGGCATTAGCACCATGCTTGTATCACAAATTCAAGATGGGGCCTTATAAATGTTATAATAGTATCTTGAATATTTTGGGCGCTGAGTAAGCTTTTGATGTGCAGTTGGTCGTGTAACTTTTTCTTTTGAGATTAGATGACATTGTAATTCCAAGATTTTTTTGGTATCAGAGACAGCTATTATTTTGTCACCTAGTTAATAAATTAAGTGAAGGTTATTTTTTCCAAAAAGCATAATACGACTTTTTTTTTCACTATTGAATTGTAATTGCCAGATCTCTGACCATTTAGAGGCTTAATTAATTTCATTCTAACGCAATTGAAAATTCTCAGGGTTAGTTACTTTCCCAATTAACTAGGTGTAATCTGCAAAGAGCTTAGAATGTTTTAAAATTATTTGACATATACTTATATACTGTGTCAGATATAATACTTTCAAATACTTCAGATAAATGAAACTGTTCTGTAGTTGCTAGCAATTAACCTGTTTCCTTTTTTTGAATGTTGGGGTTATGTTTGTCAATTTCCATTTATTATTTTCCATTTAAGATAAAAGGTAATTTTTTTAGAATCGGTAAACTATTGGTATTCTCTCCGGTAAAGAATTTAAAGTTTAAAAAAAAAAAAAAAAAAAAAGACTGATTTAAAGTGATCATTCATAATGTTAACTAGCTAGCTAGGTTCTTTAATTAGTTCATTATTGGATGTTAAAGCTCAGATTGTATTTTTGTATTGTTTTATCTGTTAATATATTTTAATAGTAGTTTTGGATTGTGGCTTGATTTATTAAGATTCTTTTAAATGAGAAATGCTTGTATTACTTTACTCTTTAAGTCTTTGTATTTTATTTTTCACTTAGTCTTTTGTTCTTTAAATATAAATTTAACCTTT